CAGCGGGACCTCCATCGCCTCGTCCATCGCCACTCTGGCCCCCGCCTCCATCGCCTCGTCCATCGCCACTCTGGCCCCCGCCTCCATCACCTCGTCCATCGCCACTCTGGCCACCGCCGGAGTTTACCAAGCCTCAGTATTGCTCCAGACAGTGTGGCAAAATATATCAGGACTTTTCCTTCTTTAGTGCATGGCTGTTGCAGCCATGTCCACTGCTCCCCTTCCCAGCCAGCCCTTTTGAGGGTCTTCCCCACCCCCACTCGTTCCTGTGAGCGGGATAGGATATTCTGCCAAAGCCCTGTAGGTTGGGTCTCTTGGCGCTGGGGACAGGGCGTGCGGCTTGTCGGATTGTCGCTGTGCAAAGCAGCATGTCCCCATCCCCCCGCCGCCATTGCGTGGAGTAGGGCACCACCGTTGGAGTCAGAAGGCTCGTTTTGAGCTCTTGGTCAAATCATTTTTCCAGCTGAACCATCAGAGTTATTTTTAGAATAGTTTAAACTGTCTTTGGCTTGTCAGCTTTGGCAAGGGTTATCGCAAAATGAACTAGATTTACAATAAAAAAACCTGAGCATATTGCATCCAGGGTCTGCATGGAGCCAAAGACTTCCGCTATGCCTGCATTTCTGTCCATCGCCTCCCTTGGTTTTATTGGATGTGCTGCCAAGGTCACAGGCTTCTTGCCTTCTCCCTGAATGGGATTTGAGCGGGTGGGGTGCGTGCGTTTTGCGGCCCTGATTCTGAAAAGCATTGCTTTTCAGCAAGGACCTGGCCTTCCCGATGGGCGTTTTAAGGCCTCTGTGAATGATTTTTTCCCTGGCCTGCATGAGTTTCAGCCAGAAGTTCTAACACTGGTGTAATAATTCTGGTGTGAATTGAATTTTGTTTTTGAAGTTGAGCCAAGGCTGGATGCAAGTAAGTAGCAGCTTAAGCAAACTGGAAAGCTCTGAAGGAAATGGATGAAAAATAAACTAAACACAAGTCTATAATAGATATGTAGCTCTTGTACCCAGAGCAGATGAGTTTTGCAGTCTCAGGTTTCCCAGGAGCCAAGATTCTCGCCCTCTCTCCCGTTCCGTTTGTTTTGGCATCGTTTTGCATTTCAAATATGCTAAAGTGGAGGAATAAAATTAGATCTGTGGTCATTGGCTGGGCTGCTGGTTCCTGACCAGTCGTTTTCTTGTTCTTCGCTATCCCAGCCCTTGTAAAAGGGGACAGCAGCTTGCCCGTCGCTGCTGGCCCAAGGGGTGCACAGTGAGGTGATATTGACGAAAAGAACCCCGGTCCTGAACAAAGGGACCCATCTCAGTAACACATAGAAGCATAGAACATAGAAACTGAGAGAATCAGAAGAGGCCTCCTGGGCCATCTAGTCTCACTCCTGGCTCCAGCCAGTTCCAGTCATGACATGCCTACCATGTGCATCTCCATCCTGTCCTTGAACACCCTCAGCCATGGGGCTTCAGCCACCTTCTGTGGAAGCCCATTCCACACCCTCGGGGTCCTGACTGTCAGGAAGTGCCTCCTGGCATCCAAATTGAACCTGGGTTCCCTGAGCTTTGCTCCCTTGGAGCACGTCCTGCCTTCCTCTGCAGGGGAGAACAGGCCTCTACCCACCTCCGTGTGACACCCCCTCATGGACATACATGTTGCCAACAGATCCCCTCTGAGTCTCCCCTTCTCCACTCTTCTGGCTATACAACCAAGGGTAGCATTCACCCTCTTGGCTGTTCTGTCACACTGCTGACTCACGTTCAGCCTGCAGTCAACCAGCACCCCAAGGTCCCTTTCACAAGTGCTGCTCTCCAGCCACTTGTCACCTAACCTGTACTTATGACAGCTATTCCTATGCCCCAAGTGCAAGACCTTGCACTTATCCACATTGAACGCCATCCTTTTGTCTCCTGCCCACTTCCATAGTCTGTCCAGATCCTTTTGGATCCGGAGTACCTGCTCCTCAGTAGTGGCCACTACCCACATTTTAGTATAGTGTGCCAGTTTGATCAGCAGACTGCTCACCCCTTTTTCCATGTCATTGATGAAAAGATTAAACAGGATCATCCCCAGGACAGAACCCTGGGGGACCCCGCTTGTCACTGGCCGCCATCCCAATGATTCCCCACTAATGGTTACCCTCTGCTTTCGGTCAGTCAGCCATGCCCTAATCCACCGGACAGTGCTTTGGTCTCTCCCAGAACTCCTCAGTTTCTTCACCAGGATATCATGGGGCACTTTGTCAAAGGCCTTGCTGAAATCCAGGTATACCACATCCACTGCATCCCCTTCATCTAGCCACCTCGAAACCTTGTCATAGAATGTCACAAGGTTTGTCTGGCAGGACCTGTTTTTGCAGAAGCCATGCTGTGTGGCCGTCAACCTCCCTTCCCTATCTAGGGTTACTAGATCTCTCACTATTATGAGCCTTTCCATTGTTCTTCCTACAATGGACGTAAGGCTAACTGGTCCATAATTCCCCATGTCCCTTCTACCACCCTTTTTGAAAATTGGGACCACTGACGCCACCCTCCAGTCCTCTAGAACCTCACCCATTCTCCACAAGGCCTCAAAAATGGAGGACAACAGATGTGAGAGTACCCTCACCAACTCCTGAACTGCCCTCAGGTGTAACCCATCAGGGCCTGGCACCTTTGTAACATGCAGTGCCCTGAAGAGCTCCTCAACTTCTAGGGGGCTGACTCTAATGTGTGCCCCTAATCCCTAACCTCATGCGGTCCCCCATGTAGATTTCCCCCATCTTGCTTTGGGGAGAACACAGAGGCAAAATAATCATTTAGCATCTGTGCCTGTTCCCTCGTATCAGTCACTGGATCTCCTTCCTCCTTATTTAATGGTGTCACCAACACTACTTCAGGCATTGGCAGAAATACATGGAAGATCACCATCGTTTTGCCATCATCCTTCACCATCTCTTTAGCCTCCTGTTCTTATCTGCCAGTGGAATCCAGTAGACCTCTTTACAATGCAGGCTGGAAATAAATGTACAATATATCAATAAATTATTAGGATTTCTGGCCCCTCTTGCCAAACGGCTCTGATGTGGTATGGGTTACCCCGGGCACGTTCATAGAATTATGGAATCATAGAATAGCAGCGTTGGAAGGGGCCAAGAAGGCCATCAGGTCCAACCCCCTGCTAGTGCAGGTCACCGATTTACACCGTCCCAACCTTGGTGTCCCAAAAGGGCTAAATGGAACCAAGTCCAGAGGTGTGTTCTTGAGGAGTGAATTTTTTGGTGAAGAACCAAACGAATCACACCAGAAAATGGGTGGAAGGGTGAAGTAGCAGTGGCATTACATTCAACTGCAGCATTTTAAGGCAGAGTTCAGGCTCGGGTTGAGACAAACTCAGTCTGAAAGCATCCCTCCAAGCTGTTACAGGCATTCTGTGCCCGGCCAGGCCTTCCAAAGGGAGCCGAGCTGAGAGGAAGTTCGCGGGCGCCCAGCCAGCACCAGCTGTAGGAGCCCAAGAGGATGCATGCAGGGAGGGTGCTGGGTGCTGCTCTCCATTGCAGGGTTCTGTGCCTGGGGAAGCTCTCATGGCCAGCCCTCGTGGGCATCAGGTGCAGCCTCGGGGGGGGGGGGCTGCTTGGAAATGTAGGGAGAGTTGATGACGGATGCTTCGGATTGCTTTTTGGATTCAAATCTGTGCACCCCCACAGGTGCCCCCCCATGGGTCTGACATAGGTAGGGAAGCCCACGTAACTCCCACTCTCTTCTCTGCACCCTTACTTAGCACTAAACAGCAAGCAAGCCAGGAGACTGAAAAACCCTTGACAGCAGTCCGGGGCTGCCCTATATGACTCCGTCCGTCCAGCCCTTGCATGGCAGACATAAGCATCATCCGCAGCTCCTGCACAGCCCCATGTTATGGGCGTAATGATGGTGCACTATATTTTGCGTTGACACTGTAATGTTTCACAGAAAAAAATGCTTTCAAGAAATAAGACCGAGTTACAGAATGGACTCCTGTCCTTGAAAGTATATTATCTCTTGCGTGGATGTGATACTTCCCCTTCACAGCTACGCTGTCGTTCTGGGGGCTTCAGTTATTTTCTAAGGCCAGCAACAATCACTCTCCAGGAACAAAAAGGAGAAAGATCCAGCCCGAGCATGGTGCTAGCACTCCCCCCCGCCCCCCCCACCCGAATAGCAGAAGCAATAGAAGTGCCATAATTCCTGCTCATTTTCCTAGGAGGACCATGCTTGGTGGTTTGGTAAAAGCATAACCCTTTAGAACCTTCGCTTGGAACTCAGGGGCTGCTTCATCTGGAGACGGGCTAATCCATTCCAGCCTAATAAAACTCTGGGGCTGTTCGGCGGATGCAGTTCGCTAAGAATCTGACTATCCGGAGAGCCCTCGTTTGCGCTGTTCACAGCCTGGCTCGCTTGCTGGTGCAATCCGGGTCGTTGCCTTCCGGGAGCCCAGCTTCTCTTCCTCGCACTGACAGTGGTGATAGCTCTGGAACCAAAGGCTCTTTTTTGGTGGCTGGGAGAGTGTTGCCCTAAATTTATTTACGGATTTAAAATGTTGCACCCTGTCCTATACATAAAAGTCTCGGGACGGTCCAGCAACAAAAGGCACAACATAAATGCCCTGGACTTGTCCCGAATATGCCTTCTAGGCAGCAGTCCCAGTGCCGCCGGAAGCCTTCGGGGCATGTAGGGCGTGACGTGCCCACAAGCTGTCCGCAGGGCCAGCGTTTGCGTCTGTGGTGGGGGGCCTGGCCAGGCGCTTTTCAGGAAGTTCTACAAAAGGTCAGCCAACGGGGAAGGCAAGATAACCTGTGGCGAACCGTTTTGAGTGAAAGCTGGCCGGGTATTGGGACACGGTGTGTTGCGGCTCCTGAAGAGGAGAGGGGGCAGCTCCCAGAAGGGGGTGCCCCTCCTTCCTCGCAGCGCTGGGTGGATCGCTCGCTCGTTATCTCTCTCCCTTCCACATTGCTGTGTTGAATTTCTTAGACATCCCCCTTGTTCGCTCCACAGGTGTGAACTAACTCAATATGAGTGGCCTTGGGAACAACTCCACGGATTCGGCGAACCCGGACTCGCAGAAGAGGAAGGGGTCGCCATGCGACACTCTGGCCCAGAGGTAAGGAACGCTTTGTGGGTTTTTCCTTCTGGGGCGGGGGGAGCAGTTCTGTCGTTCTGACACTCGTTCTACAGAAGCAGATGGGAGCAGCTTTCATCCCCTCAAATAAGTTCACACATCCCACCAGGGTTTGGCTGCGGATTTGTGAGTAGCTCCCGTGGAAGATGGCACACAGCTCCCCATCTGTTCCTTTCGCTCTTGGGGAGCAACTGGTGGCCTGCTGCTGAAGCTGTTCTAACGGAGCGATCGATCCAGGCATTCCGCTTTCTTCACTCTTTATCTCCCTTTTGTTCTGCAACCCAAAGCCCGGCTGAAAAAACGACATCCCAAAGAAGTGTTCATTTAAGTATCAACAATGCCTGCAGATGACTGGCACTTTCTCAGAGGAGGGGTTGCTTTTGAAACCCACCCAATCTGAATTCCTTGCAGCATCTTGCATCCCATTTAGAACTGGTGCCCTGGGCACCCAGCTGCCTCCTGGGTTTGACTTTCTGAGACCTGCACAGAACAACTCGACCCAGCCAGGTGGCAACACGATCCCACCCGAGCTCATGAAGCGTCTTCTCTGGCATCTTCGCATGAGTCATGTGGAAATTTACTTATTGGTGTTTTTTTTTAAAACATCTTTGCCCAAATCCTCTTCTAAAAAGGATGAAGGTCAGTAGTGACTGTTGAATTAAAAGCACACACACGCACGCACATGCACACGATGACGCAAGAGGGAAAAGGGGAGGAAAGGCAGTTGACTTTTTAAAAAAAATTGAGGAAAGAATTGCTTGGTAAGAATAGGAAGGAGCTTTGCACCAGCTAACAGACTAGTTCTGGCACAGCCTTGGGTCTGGCACTCATTTCATCGAATACCTGGAGCATTATTTTCAGTTAGTAGGCATCTGTGCACGTATACCTGTGTCAAATGAAGTCAAATGACCACGAAATAAAGAAAACAGGTGGTAACAAAAGTAGAAGCAAAAGCAACCTTTTGTAACAGCAGCAACTAGTGATAAGATGATAATCCCAGCGTAGTTTAATGAACTGCCAGCTGTGATGAGCCAGTAACCATGATTCTATTTGCTCGCAACGGTTGGGATTGCTCCTCCGTGAAGAGTAGCGAGGAAGCAGTCGCCCGCTGGGCTCATGTTTCTATCTGGCTATCCACCATAACCCCAAGTTCCCATTCGTGGACACCCCCCACCGACCCAGACCCCGCGAGCATATCCAGGAGAGTATTGTTTTGTTTTGTTCTTTTGTTTTTGCCCCAGTGTGGCATCACTTACCCTTCATTTGAACACGAAATCCCTTTGCACCCCATCCAGTGCTTGCTGGGGTGTTGACCAGTATGGTTGCCCGGTTCCCTTCGTAAGATAAAGAGGTTTCTTTTGTATTTTATTCACCTTTGGAGGCCAACCTGGCAGAAAGATGGAGCAGCAGAGACAAAAGACAAAGGCCCTTTTGAGTCAGAGCCAGATGGGTGCCTGTCCTCCAGCTTCTCCCACCCGACTCACTTCGGGGGAGTGAAATGGCTAGATTCTGTCCCTTCAGAGGTAGAGAAAGCAGTTCTCTTCCTCCTCCTCACGCTCGCTCGCTCGCTCATGCGCACGGGCGCACACACATCCGCAGTGCTTCTGCCAAGATGGCTGCCACTCTTTCCATGTGTCGACCACAAAGCGCACGTGCTTTTTCACCCCGCTGTATTTTTTACCTCCGTTCCACTTTCAGCAATTAAGCCCTACATGAACTTGCTTGATTAGTCAACGAAAATGGATACTGCGCTTGTCTGCCCTAGTTTTAGCTTTTCATCTGCATCAAAGTTGAGAAAGTTTGAATTGCCACAGAGAGACGGGTCCTGGGGCGTGGCCGAGAGACAAGCTGGCTGAAACCGTATGCCTGCAATGCTTTCCTCGTAGGGAAATTGTCCTTGCATCCTTACAGCTTATGTTGCCACAGCAACCAAGGCATTGAGTTGCGTTTTTTAAATTCCCCAAATGAATTCATACATAAATGGGTTTGCTTATTTCTCCTCCTCCATTTTAATTTGACCTCAACCCAAATACTCAGGGTACTGTCCGAAGTGGTATTTACCAGTCCATTAATAATCAGAGCAAACTCAGCCTTTGCAGATGTTTTTATAAAGCTGGGCCTATTTTCTTCAGCGCTCTATTTACAGTAGCCCTTACCCAGCAGAAGGTGGCCAGGTGGCATTCGGTGACTGTAACCCTGTCCGGGGCTTCTTAAAAAGGTGCTAAGTGGACCAGTTATGGATTCCAGCACTTGCACAGGGCCATGAGCGGTCTTCAGAGACCCACACGAAGGAAAAGCTTTTCAAGCACCCTTGGAATGGCAGGGAATCGCTGCAGGGTGGAGGTGAGGAGGGCGACCTTGCTTTTGGGAAGCTGCGGGCACTTGCGAGACGCAGTGCTGTGAGCCGGTGTCCGGGGGAGCGACGAGCTGCATCGTTTGTTGCCGTGGATGTTGCTTGCACATCCGAAGAGGGCCAAGCCCTGGCGCCCGTGGGCCACACAGCACCCTCAGCCCGTAGACCCGTGATCAGGGAGAGGCGCTTTTCCCAGAAGCGGAGGCATCGCAGCGGGGGTACTGCAAAGCGGGAGTCCTCCTCCTCCCCAGCACACCGTGGCAAAGGGCGCCTGGACCCTGCTCAGTTAAGAACTGCTCCATCTTGGCATTTAAAAATAAATCCTTTGCAGTTCTGAGTAGACCTGAGGCCTCTGAAGGCCGCCTGGATGGCCTTCGCCAAACTCGGGGTCCCAGGTCTCTCCACCCTTGTGGCCAGCGTGGCTCTTTCTGTGCCAGTCGGGGCCCCAAGGCCGCAAGCTCAGCCTCGAAGCCGGCACTGAGTGCTGCCCCAAGAGGCAGGCTGGGAAGAGCAAGGTGCCGCTCGCCCCTAGTGAGCTGCTCAGTGCCTCTGTCTCTGCTCCTCATGAGCCGGTGTATCACGTTTAGGGCAGGATTCTGTGCAAGCTGAGACAAAAGGAAGGCCCACCACTCCCTCCGTGTGGCTTGAGCATGCAGGGATTGCAATCCTGGTTTTTCCCTAAACTTGCAGAGGACCAGACCCTTTTAGGGGCCCTGCATTGGTTTGGGGCAATCGGCTGGTCACGTAAGATCACGCTGACCAAGGGATGAGAAGTACGGGGTACGTGGCTGCAGCCGCACAGAAGCTGCTCGCTCTTCATCTGCATTGTTTTCATGGAAAATCAGGTGCTTCTCAGATCCGCTTATAAAGTGATTGCTTTAGTGGCATTTGCAAACAGATTGATTGCCTCTCGCTCGCTCGCTTGCTCTCTCTTTCTCTTTCTTAATTCACATTTGCCTTTTAGCTTATTAACTGAACTTCTTGGCGCGCTGCCATTACAATCTGTCCTGTTTGGCAGCCTCCCAGTTTCTTTTTGCTTTTACTGGCCTTGCAACTTGATCGGTTGATGCTGCTTATAACTTGATCAGCTGAATGGCTGTTCCGCATGAATAATCCCATGGCTGGCTGGCAGCAAGGCGCATGCATTAAAGGGAAAGGAGGGACCCGTTGCGAGGCTTGTGGCACCTCGCTCCTTCCCACCCCGCCTCCTGGGGCAGCCCCCAGTGCCAGCATCAAGGCTGAACACCGCTGCATGTTCCGGTGCATGCATGAAAACCTGCCAGATCCCAAGAGATGACGTAAGAAAATGCAGGATGCGATAACTGATGTATCACAAATATTTGATGAGATAGTGCAAGCAGTAGCAAATATAAAAATATACATCATCTCCATTGCAAAGGTGGTCTTCCTATCAGAACAGAACGCCTAATAATAGAAAAGTCCACATCATCATGACAATTGCCTGTAATGGGCATGGAAAGGGCATCCTTCAAGAGCAGGATATTTGCCTCTCTCACCTTTCTGGAGATTTATTTTGGTGTTCATAATTAAAGCATATGAAACAGGCTAACTGACCAACCTCTGCACTTCCGAAGCATTGCGTTGCTGCATGTAGATTCTTAGCAAGATGTCCGTAAGCCCTTCCTTGTTATATTTTATTCCTGGTGGATAAATATGTAGCACGGAAAAACAACGAACACACTGCAGAATCAGATGCTTAGTCACATTGATCTGGTCACATTATTTTACTGCTTTCAGGAATGGAAGAAAGCCACGATGTGGACAGAACCGTGTCAGATCATCTCAAAGAGCTGATAACTGTAATGTCGGACCATATCCGTGCCTGTATCAGATTTTAAGAGAGAGCTTTGCACCAGGTGTTGCTGCTCAGGCTAGGTCTACAAAGTGCTGGGAAACAGTCAGGAAACTCAGACATTTCTTTGGGGCCGCCTTTGATGGGCTCTTGAGTGAGGCATGGAGAGGCTTTGATCGTGGAAAAGTCCCGCAACTGAGCATTGGTTTTCTCTCCTAGCAATGAGAAACGGCGCAGGGAGCAAGAGAACAAATACTTGGAAGAGCTGGCAGAGCTGCTTTCGGCCAACATCGGAGAGATTGACAGCCTGAGCGTCAAACCTGATAAATGCAAGATCCTGAAGAAGACAGTCGATCAGTTTCAGCAGATGAAGAGACTCGAGCAAGGTAAACCCGCAGGTGCTTTGTTCTCTGTTCCCCTGTGCGTGTGAAGGCACATTTTAAGGCAGCAGTTCACAGGGCGTGAGGTGGCAGGGAAGGAAGTTCCCCAAGCCCTCCTGCTAAGCGCGGGGAGAGATCCCTGCCACTCTCTACGCCGCAGTGGGGCAGGGGGACCCCCACTGCTTCCTCAGCCTGCTTGTTGAAAAGGGAGTTCAGGGGCAGCTGCTGCTCTTCCGCTCTGTGCTGGTGAAGGAGAAGGTCTGAGGTGCTCTGGCCTAGGCCACTTCTCATAGGAGTCATATGCCTGCCTGAGGTCGCTCGCATGCAAGACGCACCGGGCGTCTCCTCTTGCGGACTTGTGGAAAAGGCTTCGGGTGATGGGGAGCCGCAAGGCCGAACAAGGTCAAGAAGCCTGAGGAAGGTTGGGCTGAGGCACAGGCTGCCCCCGATGTGCAAGCGTGCCTAACGAAGCCCCGCTGGCCGCGTTGCGTAAAGAGAAGCGTTTCAAGAACCTTCAGTCTTGGACAGTGGCAGGAAGTGGGGTGCTTGGTGCTTCCTTCCTTCTCTGCACCTTGTGAGACCTGTTTTGCCCTCCCTGTGTGCCTGCCTCTTTAAGCAGGTGTCTGAATCCTGAAAGGTTGCAGGGAAGTCTTTGCAGGGACAGATTAGAAACAGGAAATGGGTCAGCAGAGAAGAGGGTCCAGCGCCCCCCTTGCCCCCTCTCCTGGTGCTTTTTTGCTTAAAATAGCCCCCGCCAAAGCTGTCCGCTTTACAGAAAGCCAGCTTCTTGGTTTCTTCTGTGCAAGAGTTCGGAGCACACGCCCTTCTTTCTTTGCTGCCTTTTGCTTTTGCTGAAATTTGGGGCATGACTCGAGGGCAAATACATACCAGAAGTCACTTTGCAGTGGGGGTAGAAGAATCTGTTCTGAGGAGGGCGCAAGAGCCGCTCCATCCCCATGCTTGGCTCATCATGTGGGGAGCAAGGAGGGCTCAGACCTTTTCCCACTGCACGTTCTCCTTCCCAAGGTGGCGGGGCTGGGGGAGACTTGCAGGAGCCAGTGGGCCTGGCACAGCTCCCCACGGCCTGCCAGTTCTCCCCAGCTGATAGTCGCACTACCTCTCCGAATAATTTTCTGCCAGTTTCCCTCCTAGTGCAGTCGGCAGCTGGTTGACTGGCATGGCGGGGCTGAGACGGGACCCTGGGGCTGCGGCTCCAGTGTGTGCACAGGCTCCTAAAAGTCGCGCAGCCGGGGAGCCCTGCGACACCAGGGAGCCGGCCAGGTGGAGTTGCTTCCAGGTCTCCGGACGGAGGGAGCTGAAGGCGTGGCGCGGCGTGTGGTGGGCAGACATGCTGCCTTTCGGTGCAGGCGCCGAATCATGGGCCTTCAAAGGTAATCCAAGGAGCGACTTGTGCTGAGCAGACGTGCCCATTGTGCTCAGCTGCCAGTCAGAATTGGATGTGCAAAATGGCCCTTTGTCTTTGGAGGACAAGGGTCGCTTCTGCTTAAAGGCGGGTGCTAGATAATCAGCTGTATCTGGACAATCTTCCCTCCTACATTGCTAGGGAAATTTCTGAGAAGTGCTGGAATGTCACTGCAAACAGCTCCCCTCCTTGTCTTATTTTCTTTCAGCTTCATCCAAATACTGCTGAGTTGGTAAGAGGGGACTGCCTGCCGGGTGGATTTATTTAAATTAAAGCAATTTAAATCAGTGATTTAAATTGCCCAGAACAAGACCGATTTAAAACATTTGATTTAAATAATGTTTCTCATTTTGTAATTCCTCTTTTCCCTTAACAAAAGTTCATCCTCATCCTCCTCCTCCCCATCATCAGGTTTATTTTGTTAAAAACACTGCTGGTAAAAAGCGCTCGTGCTAATTGGCTGCCGTACCAATCAGGCGCGTTGGCTTGCAGCCAGACGCTCTGGCCCTCGCGCTTGCCTCTTCTTCCGCGACTCACAATTGTCACTCAGGGAGTGGGACGGCAAGGGTGCAGCCGGCAGATTTCCGTTTGGCTGCAAGGAGGTTCAGCAAGACTGCATCAAAACGTAAGAGGTGCCGTGCCGCATCGGGCCACATGCCTCTCTCGGCCAGGACGCTGGTCACCCAGTGGCCAGCCAGAGACCTATGGGAAGCCCACAGCAGGGTCTGAGTGCAGTGGTCCCCCCCCTGCCCCCCGTTGAGTTCCCCAGCAAACAGCCGATGAAGCAATAGCCTGGGCCATTTCCTTGAGCCTCGTGGATGGCAGAGGAGGCGAAAATGCCCCGTGCCAGCGCTCACAACTTCCTGGAAGTCTTGCTGGGCCAAGTTGGGTTTCTCCGAGCGAAGGAAACATTCACACTGCGCAGCAAACAATCATGATACTAATTACATGCGCAATGTGGCCTATTGTGGCCCAAGCTATAATGCTGGCTGCAGAAGTGAAGCCGTTTCCCCATGTTCCCTTTCCCGCAGAGCAGGCTTTAGCTGTGTTGGATGGAGTCCCTTGCAGGGCAAAGAGATTATTTCAATTCCTATCCCATCTTTCCTCAAGGTTGATTCATAGTTCTCCCCCACACATTTTATCCTCACAGCACCCCTGTGAGGTAGGCTCACCTGAAAGATTGCACCCAGCCAAAGCCTATCCCTTGGATGGATTTCACTTTGCCCAGAGATACTGTTGTGAATTTAAACATGAGCAAACTGAAATCAAACATTAAGTGCTGGTTTTTACTCTCCAAACATCAAACCATTAATGCAGGAGTGGGTTATAATAGCTTCTTCATGTCCAGAGTTGGACATACTTCAGGCTCCTGACTCCACTGGCTGCTGGCGAATTTTGCACACGAGGGTTTGGAGTACCGCTGGAAGGCTGGAATCCAGGGCTGAGGAGGGGGCTGCCTGAAATCTTCAGGCCCCCAGGTGCCCCACACCTGTGTCCTATGTGCACGCATTCAGGGACCCCGCAAAGCGTGCAGCGTCTTTCGCTGTATTAGGCAACCGTGCAACATTCCGCGTACGACCCGGAGGCGATCCCTGCCGGGAGACACCCGGGTTCCACCTAGTCCAGCCCCCTGTTCACGTGGTGGCCAGCCAACCAGCTGCCTGTGGAGGGCCCACGCGTGGGTCGTGGAGAGTGTGGCGGAGCATAGGAATCGTTGCTGAGCGCACTTCCCTGCTGCCCGCCATCCTGTTCGGGGGCGGGGGCAGCAAGAGGAGGCAGAAACGCCCATTTCAGCTGAGGAGGAACGTATTCCACAAAGCGGCTTGGATTTTCGGCGCTCTTGCCACGGTTCCAGCGAGAGGGGGTGGCGGCCCTCTCCTTTCTGGCTCTGCTCCTAGGACCGATTTCTCAGGAGCATGAGGGGTGGTGCCTGGCCGGCAGTGGCTGGCCTGTCCACAAGCCCCAGCTCGGACAGAAGAGGGAGGACGTTGCTGCAGGCTTCCCCCCTCTCCGAGTGAAACGCTGCCCTTGTGACACGAGCCGCTCTCACCGCAGGCGAGGCGAGGGTGTGCGCCATGTCAGTACACCGAGGAGTCGAGCACGGCTGTGCTCGGCGTCCCAAGCAGGCCGTCGCTCCGTGTGCCGGGGGGCAGCCCTGACGGGGAGCCCCCTCTCAAAGGGCACTCGCGGTCGCCTCCGATCCTGGGGCTCGCGGTGTGTCTGGCAGCTGGTCGTGCGTCTTGACTGGGCCTCTTTGTAGGCAAACGAGGGCGCGTGCCGCTCCCGCGCTCAGAGGGACTCTTTATTGAAAACAAAATGGATGTTTTCCATGTTTTCCCCATTTCAAGTTAAATATAAATGTGTTGGAGACAAAAAGGTGTTCTTGTTGGTACTTGTGAAAAGTGTCACGTGTCCTCAGCTCTTCTTTCGATGGGAGAGGACTAGCTCTAAAAAATTGTGTCTGCATAAACCTTGTCATTCCCTACCAAGAGTTACACAAAGCGTCTAATTTTGGAAGGGGCCTGAGCGCAAGCCGAGCACACTTGCATCCTGAGTTCGGCCTCCGGCAACCCCTCGAATCGGCAGCTTCCCATCTTCGGAGAAAAGCCATAAAATTGCCGTCAGGATGTGAAAGCTTCCAAACTCTTAACCAGTTTCACAAAATGTGCATACACTAGACCAGGAATAGACAACCCGGAGCCCTCAGATGTTTGGGACTATAGGTCCCATCAGCCCCAGCTGGTGTGGCCCATGGTCAGGGATTACAGGAGCTGGAATCCAGCCCATCTGGCAGGCTGCAGGTTGCTTCCGCTCAGCTTCACGAAGCGGCTGTTGAGACCTGAGCAGTGCTTCCACCCCTGTCAGAAACGCCTGGAATGAGACCTTTCCCTCCGCCGGTTTGTGGGTGTTCAGCGTTTCTAAGGGGGCCCAGCATTTTAGGCAATCAGTGGAGAAGTTGATCGCTGGGCAGGGCTGCATATGAATGAGGGCAAGAGCCGCTCTGCGTTCCTGGAGCTTGGCTTATCTGCTGCTGCCCTCACTGGTGGTCCTTCGGGAACCAGAGGGCGGAAACCCCACCGCTTCATTGTTATTCTGCGTATCTCTGGATTATTGGAGGAGGCCCGGCCAAGGGGTGTCTGAGGCCAACGTTGTGGGTCGAGAGGTGCTCTTGGGATTTCAGCAGCGTGCACGGAGCGTTAGATTTGCCTAATAGGAACCCTCTCCTGCTTCCTCCCACGAAGGGTGCCCCCTTGGCTTCCTTCCCGCCTCGCTGATCTCTGTCTTAGGGTGTCTGGGAAACGTGAGGTCTGAGCATACATTCGGAGCTGCAGCCCGCAGAATTCAGGCAGACCAGTCGCCGTGCTTGAGAAGGTGTGGGTGGGTCCCACTTGGGGGTCCATTGACGTGTTTCAGGCACTCGTGCCTCTGCCCCTCAGAGGTTTCTAAACCTGGGGAAGGGTCAGCAGTGCGGGGCATTGGCTGAGGAACAGGCCTGTGCCAGGAAGTGGGCTGAAGCAGGATGGGGACTCGCCACTTAGCAGCAGCTTCTGAGGGCTGGAACCAAGGGAAGCCCTGCTTGCAA